AGTTTTTCTATCACCAAATATTTTCCAACAATTTTATTACTGTATAAAAAAAGCCTTATTTTCCTCTTTTCTTTTGACTGTGAATTCCAGCAAGGAAGTTTACCGTGAAAACACAAGTGCCCTGGAAGTTTCTGTCATCTTCAAAAGAACACGCTCTCCAGGGTAGCTTCCTTTGGGATCGGTACCTCAGCCAGTGTGCTATGAGCAAAGACAGAGTGTTATTTTACTATCGTATTTTTTAAAGAACTACTTAAAAACCAGTTAGTACAGACGCACAGTTTTGTGTGTGTGTGTGTGTGTGTGTGCGTGCACGCGCGACACAGTTGTGTGTGTGTGTGTGTGCGCATACATGTCACAGGGACAGATCTGTCAGGTTCCTGAGGGGTGGATACATATCACAGGGACAGATCTGTCAGGTTCCTGAGGGGTGGGAAATAAACTTGGTAAATTTCCAAACACTATAGTGTTTTTCATAAAGGACTTCTATGACATCACAATCCAGAAAGAGACAACCTGCATTGTGAAACACTCCTGACTTCTTCCCGCGGTCCCCTTCCGTCGACTCTCAGAAGGGTACAAAGGTGCCAACGCCTGGATACTGAAGGAATTCCATGCACTTTAACAGCACTGTCTCTCGTGAAACTCAGAATGTTCCCGGGACAGTATCCGACGCCAGGCCGCTCCCCAGCATTTGGGAAGTGGACGTGGCCCCGGCTCCAGCAGTGCCCAGCAGAGCTTGGAAACCGCCTCCCTGAGTATAAGGCTCCCTGTCCGCACAGTGAGGGATTTTAACGAACCAGTCTGACGTCCTTTCCGTCTCTAAGAGTCTGAAGAATCGTTTCTATAAAACCTTTTATGAAACTTGTTTTATAAAAACATTAAAGAGATATTTATGAATAGAAATCCTAGTGAATGGCTTAAAGACAAAACCTCTAGCTATTTCTGGCCTTTACTTCTGGATCTATTAGTAGAGTATAGATGGCCTTCACTCATTTCTACCTACTTGCTGTATTTCCATGGCTGTGACTGGAAAGAACTGATATATGTTCTTTTCTTTAGTCATTCAGCTTACATTTATTGAGTGCCTCTTCTGTGCAGACACCACGCTAGGTACCTCACTTTCACTGTCTATAAATATTACATATTAATAATAGCTAGATATTAATATTTTAGGGTTGTTGGGAAAGTTAAGTAAAAATAATCTGCATTAAAGCACTTAGTTCTTGGCACGTAGTTTGGAATTAAATAACAACTGGGAACAGACCCTGAACTTCAAATCTTTAGCACTCAGAAGCATGTGGTCCACTCCTTTCATTTATGAATTAGGAAAGAGAGGTTAGAAGAAGTGAACTGACCAGCCCACAACCACACGGCTACTTGTTAAGAAGAGTTTCATGATTCTCTGTCCAGTGCTTTTTCTATCCTATCAGGTTGCTTCTGAACACCAGCAATTCTACTACTCTTTCTCTCAGATTACAAAACATTGCTCCCCCCTCCTGCCAAAAAAACATAGGAATAAATCCCCACAAGGGGCTGGTTGGCAACCTACTAACCTTGTTAACAGCTATCGGGTTAGGGATCTGCTAGGGTCCCCTGATACATACAGATGAGGACACTGAGGTTTAGAGAGGTTAGTAACAGCTCAGGACCACACACAAAGAGTAAATGGTAAAGTCAGGGTTTGAACCTAGGTCTGCCCAGGTCTAAAGGCCATGCTTTTTATGATACCATGTTGCTCTCACACATGGTCTCTTCTTGGCTTTCTAAACAGTTTTAATGCTGCCATTCAGGTTAACTTTGGCCACAGCTGGAGCTGAACATCAGGAATCCAGCCTACTTCAACATCTTCCTCAATGATTCAGCTGAAGACAAAGAAGGTAATAAGCCGACAACACAAAAATCTAGGAAGAATAGTGAATCTCATGTAAGATGTAGACTAAAACTTCAAAACCTAATAGGATGTCTTAAAGAAATGAAAGAAACAGATGATGATGAAACTGCTTGTGTTCTGAGGCAGTAAAACATTTATGCCTAAAAAAATGATGTCGTTAAGATTTGGGAAACCTGGCTTAATACCAATTCATAAAAACAAAATAATCAAATAAAAAAATTCAGTTTTTGAACATGAACTTCCTTTGACTAACAAAGTGACATACTTGCAAAATAAGTTAAATCAATCTTACTTAAACTGTCATGATAAAAACACAGTGTCTGAACCAAGGGAGGGTGTAATTTCCCCAAACTATAATCAGAGTAATTGTAAAAACCTGTTTTTATTTTTGGGTGCCACATTTCTTCAGAAGCTGACAACAAAAGTGCATTGTGGATCCAGTTTCGTGGATGGCAAATGCAGCCTGTTATCGCATTTTCCATGGGCACGCTGACCAGTCTACCATCAGTGTACATGGATAATGGCCGCCTTCGATGAAGGCCCACAGGCGGGAAAAGGCGTTTCAGATGATGACAGAAAAATGTTTCCTGTTGCTGATAACTTCAATATCATATCCACTTTTGATTTTACTTCAGAGTCAAACAAGTTGAAGCTACAGGATCATGCATATTCCTGTTCTTTTGTTCTCATTCTTAATGTTCTAGTTGTATTTTAATTTCCTATAGCCACAATTCATTCTCTTATTTATATCTGACCATTTTATATTATATGCTAGAATTGACTTTATTTCATTTTATTTTTTTTTTAGAATTTACTTTAAATTGTTAGATGAGGTGAAGTTGAGTTGATTAGTTTAACATTTACCAGGTCTTCAAAAATTGAGAGAACTGAGTGTATTTAGCTGGGAAACATGAAAAAAATGTTTTCAAGTTAAACAGTCTTATAGAAAAGAGACTAGAGACTTCTGTGGCCACGAAGGACAGTAATAAGACCAGTGTGTGGTAATTACTGAGAGGTGGATTTCAGCTCATTGTGATAAAAATTTCTCAACAGTTAAAAAAGTTTTAACAAGGAATAGGCTGCCCCACAAAGCATGAAGTTTTCTACTTCTGTCACCATATCTGAACAGAGGCTGGACAACCACTGGAGAGGGTGATCCTCCAGTGAGTGGGAAGCTGGACCAGATGACATCTAGAGCCTCCTGCACCTTTGAGATTGTTATAAAATACATACTACAGCAAGGAAAACAATATACAGGTTCTTAAAGCATCATATTAGCATTGATGACAACAATATTGGCAATCATAATAACAGCACTAACGACCCTAATAACACAGTGTAGGACTTTACAGATGCTTTTATCTGGGGCATTATCAAAAGACATCATATATAAGTATTATTTCTCATCCCAACTTTACAGATAAGAAAATTAGAATGTTTCAAAGTGAAATAACCTATGAAGGTAATGAAATAGCCTAAGCTGACTCTATGTCAGCAAAAATTAAGGAGGCTACTGGTTAAACCACTAAGTATGGTTAACTAGCAAATGTTGACTCTGGTATAGCAGACGCTTAGAAAGATGGGGACGTACAGCTGAGGAAGAGTGGGTTAAGATGCCATGGATATTGAATCTGATCTTCTGATGTTCAACAAAACGTCATGCTGCCTAGCTGTGAGGAGTCCAGTGCTCCTGAATTCCTACTTTGTAAGAGGGCAGAGGACCTTCAGGGACTCTCTCTCCCTCTCTCCCCCCATCTTGCATTATTCTTTTAGACCAGCTACACTCAATAGCAAAGCACATAGCTACAAGCAGCTGAGTTCACATCTTTACAACTTTGCGATCAGAGAAAAAAGGGATCTTTCCTGCAAGTTCTCATTCGAAAACTCCTTGGAAAGGATTCTGGTTAGCCTGAATCACCCCCAAACCAATCATTTCAGCCAGAGAGGAGTGAAATGCCCGACTCAGATTATGCCCACCCTGTGGTTAAGTGGTCTGTATCTATTACCAAAAGCAGAAAAAGATGAAGCATATATGTCCACAATAGATAACTTCCTTAATTGAAAGAATCAAAACGTGTCTTAACTAGACACTTCCAAACGCATTTTTTGAAAGTTTTTTTCAGATATGCACGTATTAAAAAATTAGGTTTTCTAACCTTCTATCACTTGATTAACAATACTATAATTTTATCTCATTTTTTGGTACTGTTCTCTCTTACCTCTTTCTTTTCTTTCTGATATTTAGCACCTCACAGACTGTTGTCGATTTGGCCATAATATTATCCTGCATCTGGTTCTGACTGTGAGAAGCTACTCAGGACAACAGGGTGTTCGTGGAGCGCATCTGGATTCTGAGAGCAGGCCGCAGCCTCCCAGGAAACACTACTGGTCGTGACAGCTTAATTCCAGGCGTCTTCACTCTGCTCTCTTGGTAACTGTGTATTTCAATCTTACAGGAAAAAAGAAAAAGCATAAAAGAAAGTCTTTTTGTTAAGTTTCCATTCAGTGTCTTACTGCAGATACTAATTCAGGTGGTAAACAACTCTTTATTGATGCCTACTCTGTGCCACTGTAGCCGACTTTACAGAACGGTGATCAAGACAGACAGGCCCTTCGTGTAGTTTGCTTCATGTGAGAACGACAATAAGTAAGCAAATAAATAAGCAAACCAGTCACAGGTTGTGATGAATGATATGAGGTAAATTAACAGGACACTGTGATAGAGATAAGCAGGGAATTCTAGGATGGCTTTCTTAAAAAGGTGAACTTAAAACTGAGGTGTGGAGGATGAACGGAGTCCACCACGAGGAGATTCAGGGGTGTGCCTGAGTATTGTAGACCAAGGTTTCTCACTGTTGACACTTTGGACCATAAAATGTAAAACTCTTTTGTTGTGAGGGACTGTCCTGTCCATTGCAGGATGTTTAGCAGCTTCCTTGGCTTCAACCCACTGGATACCAAAAGCAGTGTCTACCTCTCACCCCTCATCCCCAGCTGGGAAACCAGAAATGACTTTGGCCATTGCCAGACATCCCCTAGAAGACAAAATCACCCCCAGTTGGGAACCACTGTTCTAGGCATAGGGATAGAATGAAGAATGCAAAGCCCTGAATAGCATGAGATGCTGTTAGGGACGTAAGGGCAGCTCATTCAGGGTCTGTAGGCCTTGGCAGACATTTGGATTTTATTTTATGTAGGTGGTAAGTCACTGAATAATTTCAAGTTGGGGAATAATATGTCTACATTTTAACCCATTTCTCATTTGCCCTGAGAATACTAGCTGGCAGCACTTGCGGCTGCAGCATTTATCCCGAGATAATTTGTGGATTACAGTCCTGATCTTACCCCCAAAGATTGCCATGAAATATCTCACTTTTATTATTATTTTTTGCATCGCTCTAGTGTATCGATAGTCTTTGGAAACAAATGACATCATTCTATTTACAGCATTGTTTTTAGTAGTGGTTTTCTATTTACAAAATATAGTAATTCTCGATGTCTGAAAATGTCAAATCCTAGATGTTCCACTTTGTGTTGTTCCGTGCTTTGAAATTTACCACATAAAAAATTATTAAATACTGATCGTATACATTTCTGTTACATTAGGATGAGACAAGTTCTGTTTCAAAATAACTCAAACAACAGTTTTTGTATTTTATTTTCACATTGAAAACCAGTTGGATTTGCTTCAGCCTCAAAGAGCATGTTTCTGTAAAATTAAATTAATGCTGCCAGAGCTGCACTTTTTTTTCCTAAACGGGCAATGGGTTAAATGGACTAATTTGGCTCCTGTGTGGGAAACAGATTGAAATCTATGAGGATAAATGAGATTCCAGGGCCTGGCACTGAAGCGCATCACCATTTACAAGATAAAAGTAGATTGAAAGTGTAAGAGAAAAGCAGATGGAAAAGGAGCGGCCAATGAGGTTGGAACAAAGCCAGCAGAGGATGGAGTCACAACAGTCGGGATGTGAGTCTGTCAAGGAGGGAGTAGTTGATGGTGACTGCATTGTTCTGGTGACCTCATCCTCAAGTCACAGCCTGGACACTTCTCTGGAACTGTACTGGTTTAGGTCATTTTCTTGCCTTGCTACAATCTCCCCTACAAACCTTCTGTATGTAATTCCAAACTAATCACCTTGTTCAAGAACTTGCAAAGGCTTCCCATTATAGCCCTGCAAGGGCCTTGTTCATTAGTTTCTAAAACCTTGCTCTTGATGTAGTTATGCATCTTCCTCAGTGCCTTCAAATATGCCTACCTATGACCCTTCCAAGCTGAAGCTCACCCTTGATCTCCCACAGAAGCCCTCCCCAACAATTCATGTCAGCACAGACGTCTCTCTTCTCTAAAAAATCAATAAAACGTCCAATTTTTCACTCTATCCACTGAGCATGTAGGGTTCAGTACCTGAGCCAGGCACAATGCTATGCTCTGGAAATATGGCAATGGTCCCTGCTCTCTAGGAGCTTAGTTAGTAAGGAAATAAAATATTTTGGCCCTCCTTGTTTCCTTAATACATTTAGGGAACAAAGAGTTTGTCTAGTGTCCAATCCTGAGTCAGCCACTCAGCTACTTCTTCTCTGTGCCTCATGTCACTTTTCCCCACCCAGCTCAGTCACAGTTTGCCACACCTTCAACTGCTGATCACCTCCAGGAACTATTGGGTCACAGCTCCCCAGGACAGATCACTATTACCCTAGCAGTCATCAGCGATAGGGCGGGTCCAGCCCCAAGGTCTGAGTTATGTGTGTAAGCGTGATGAAACCTTTGGCTAGGCCTCGGCTGAACCACATAAGCGGGTCCTCGGTGCTCCAGGCCTACTCTCTCATGATCTCACATCGGTGTGAGCCGTAGAGATCCTTCTTCCTAAGTTTGCGCCTACCCAATAACTGACAGTTGAATCAACACACACACAGCCCTCAAGGACAAATAGTAATTCTCAGAGGCAATACATTTAAAACCTATGTCATGACATTCCTAGCCAGTTATCTGGGAGCAACTCCTGTCCTAATATGCAAGGCAATGTCAGTTTTGCTTTTTTTTCATGTTTGCTTCAGATGACCTCATGGCACTTAACTTGTGACGTATTATAAATCTGTCATTTAAAACTCAGTACTTAGAGTATGCCAAGAACTGGCCGAAAGTGCAGTCAGCGTTCAGTCGAATCCTTGAGCAGGGTGAACTGCATGGGCATGCTTCTGTAATTTCTAAATGAGGAAGAGAGAAAGCATGAGTCTTTATTACCCATAGCTCATATTATTTTTTTTTTTCAAGAGTGGAGGTGGGGGTTGCTCTGCCGGTTCCATTTGCAAAACAAGAATTACAGTGCAACATAATTGTTATGAGAAATAAGTCTACGAAGGTGGAGGAAGAGCAAGTCTGTCTTAGAAAGTTATAAAGGGTTCCCCGGAGGAGATAAGTATTCAACTGAGACCTGAAGGATCTTGAGAGAAACCAATTAAAACATGGAAGAGCAAGGAGCTCGCTATGGCTAGTGTGGAGCAAATGGACAAGAACGGTAGGTTAGGTCAACAGTCTGGGGCCAGATCATGAGGGGGTCCACTGGGAGTGCCTGACAAAACCTTGGCAGAGGAATATTGCGATCACATCTTCATGTTAGAAAAATCATTAATAGAATGGAGGCTGGGTAGGAGTGGGAAATAAGCAGAGGCTATTGCAACAGTCCAAGGGAGATGAGTTAGGAGATGATGGTGATTACTTGATGGACTACAACAGTGAAAGTGGAGATCCAAAAGATGGGTGGATTTGAGAGATACTTAAGCAGGTAAGAGTCAAGAGAATTTGGTATTAGGATAGAGGAAATGAAGGAAATGTAATATAGGGGTACTCATGGATTTCTGACTTGGGTAATGGGTGCTAAGATTTGAGACAGGGAATGAACATGGGCCAGGTCACATATAGATGGGGAGAGACACAGCGTCAGGAGTAGGGACTGATAAACATGCCAATGTCAATTTGAGACATATTTAAGGTAACTGTGTGAAATCCAGATGAAGATGCTGTTGCTTAAAAGAGTCTAACCTGAAGCTATACATTTGGGAGTCCCTGGTAGGTAAGTCCATGATGGGGGCGGGAGAGTGCTCAAGGAGAGGTGGATAATCGACAACACCGAAATGGAGAGCTTGGGAACACAGAGGGCACACGGAGTGGGGAACAATGTTTCAAGTGCACCAGGCAGGCAGCTGCAGAACCAGCAGACAGTGGCACTAGAGAAGCCATGGGGAGCGTTAACGGTGTCGTTATTGTTACTATTTTTTAAATGGAGAGTTTTTTTCCCTCCTCCCCCAAAAGTTTTAAATTTCTTGAAGGCAGGAATCATGTCTTAAATCTCAATGTATTCCCTTCAGTGCCTAATTCACTAAAAGGAACACAGTAAATGCTCAGTAAATTATCTTTGATTCAGTCTCAAGCACCGTTCACCCATTTCGACCTAAAATATTTCTTCAAAATAAACTTCTAGTGTTACCTACGAGCTTAATTTTTGTAACCTGTATATTCTACCTGCACCATCTTTGGGATGAGTTCCAGAACCTTATTTATTGAGAGGAACTTTTGATACTAAAGATGGCAGTGGGTTTATCTTCTAGTATTCCTAAGAAACAATTTATTACGCAACCGAGTTTAGCCTAATTCCTAAGCAATAACTCGTAATTTAAAACCTGTTCGAAAACATGGTAAGGAGGCAGCCAAATTTTTCTTACCACAATTAACCATTAACCGGGTCAACACGTTTATTAAAGCTTTCATTTTATTAGTAGTCACAAAACAACCAGTTGGGGACCACACATTCCTGCCAATGGAAGCCACTTAACTACAAACAGTGTCGTGACTCAGGGACAGACAGCTGTAGGGAACTGCGTACCGGCACGGGGTTTCCATGGCAGACGACACCTGTTTTCTCTCAGGTAACACCACCTAACCTACAGCTCAGTTCTCGGTGGATCCGCATTCGAGCTTAGAAAATTACGAATAAATGACCGGGAGCTCCGAAACAATCACCTCCGCCTGAGGAACTGTCCCCTCCTTCCGTCTACGACACCACACAGCCCTACCTGCAGCCACCTTGCTCCCACCGCCAGACCCAGCGCTCCGCTCCCGCCAGGAGAAAAACCACCAGGCTCCTGCTCTCGCGGGATCTCGCGCCTCGGAGCAAGGCTCCTGGATCGCGTGCCCCATCGAACCCCCGCGGGAATACAGTTCCGCAGGTCCCGAAGCCTGAAATCGCGCGCGGGGGCGGGGCCAGCGCTGAGGGGCGGGGCGGGGCGGGGCAGGCGCGAGGCTTTGCTGAATTACCTAAAGTATATAACCTGAATATAATCAGACAGACCTAGGGGTTTCACCTAACAGAAAATACAGTAACTAGAAGGACAAGTTAAGTTACACCATTAAGAAATACCAGGTGTCACGGTCCTCACTGGTCCCTGGGAGTCGGGCGTGTGCGCATGCTCCGTGCGCCGGGTCGCGCTCTGGGCGGCGGAGCCTGGGCGCCTCTGCTCCAGTTCCCGATGAGCTTCGGCGTGGCAGCCTGGTGTCGGCCCCGGGCCAGCGGGAGGGAGCCCTGTGGGAGTGGAAGGCCTGACTTCTCCACCTGGACCGCGCGCTCCCCTGGCCGAGAGGGCAGAGCGCAGGTGAGTCTCCGGAACCCTCCCCAGGATGAAGGTCCAAGACGTGAGACCCCCCTTGGGCCTGACGGCGAGACCCTCGTTCCAGCACCGCGCCCCCCGGAGCCCTTCACTTCTGGGGCGGACTCGGGGCTCGCGGCCGTGTTCCGGCGCCCGCGGGCCCGCAACCCTCAGCCCCCTGGCCGCCCGGCGGGGACGCCCCTGGCCCGGCGCGAGGCGCGCGAGTCGGGAGGAGGTGCCGCGCTGACCGGGTCGTGGCCGTTCGCGCCGCTGCGTTTAGGGGCGGCCGGGGCAGGACCCGAGTCCCGCGGGGTCGCTCCGTGCGTCGGGTTTAGGACCCTCACCGCCCAGCCCCTGCCTGCCCCCAGCAGCCGCTCTTTAAATGGGGTTCGCTTGGTCCAGTGGTCCTCTTGGGAGACAAGAGATGGCTGGATCCGTGAGAATCTTTGGGCTGGCGATTTCTAGGTGTAATTTGCAAAGTTCAAGTTTAGCGTCTAAACTGTCACTTCTGGATCGTTTGCGGAAGTATCTTAAACACCACTGGAGAACAAGCAGTACTTGCACAGGTGTTGGAGGGAGGGTTTCCAGAGCCTGCAGCCTGAGCATATTCTGAGGATTTGTTATCCCGCTACAAAGTTTGCTTTATCAATGCAAAGTCTGATTAACGTTTGCAAAATGTACTTACTGGAAAGCTTTGTCAGACAGCAGAGTTTGCCAAATGTTTCTTTATCTGGAAAAAAAACATATATATGTATATACACACATATATAAATTTTTTGCTAGGAATCGTCAAAGCTATTTTTAAAGGATGTTTAACAGTAAACTTAGGAAGTTCTTTGTAGTTAGGGTCTGATTCGCTTTTAGTTCCGGCCTCTAAAGAAAAGCATTGCTAATTCTCAGTATTTAAAAAGAGTAGCAAGTGCTTACCAAAATTCAGATTGAAATGGATTTTGTCTAAATTGATAATGGCTAGTTTTATTTTCTCTTCAGTTCCATGATGATGGTCTCTGCAAAGATCCTTTGCCCTGTCAAAGAGAAATTAAACAACAAACAAAACTTATTTTGTGAAAGTAATATATGACTTGTCTGCCATCGTCCTAAGAATTCCAAATAGACGAAATCACTGTAGGTAGATGTTAATTGTAGCCTGGAAAAACAAACTTTGTTTTTATTTTACATTTTAGAGGATTTTAAAATGAGCTCTTTGGACAATTTGACTAGGTTTATGATTACTGGTGATAAACCATGAAAGTGATTTATTTAAATTTGTTCACAAATTAAACCGACTTGTAGTTATGTGTATTTTTTTCCTACAGTGTAAAAAATAAGTGAGCAAGAATAGACCTTGCTTTTTCCCTATTAATTTTTGAAAACAGTAATTTATAAATGTTTATAGACTTTAAATTATTCACGGAACTTGATACTAATAATCAATTCATTAATATTTTTTCTAGAAGATACATAAAGTAGTTTTTAAAAAGATAGCTATTTTAATGGGAGAGGGGCACTCTTTTCCACCTAGTTTATTTTTTTCTTTAGGGGAAAAAAAATCAAGAAATTATTAGAGTTGGTAAGTACTGTGATTCAAGATCAGTTTATATTATTTAGTGTCAAATGTTCAAAGTGTGTAGAATCAAGAGATACAATTTTGGAATCATTTGGTTCAGAAGTTTTTAGCAGGACAAAGTTAAAATATGAAAACTCTGATCTAGTTTAAGGTGATGTACATATTTAAAAGTCAAAATCAGAGTTATTTTCCTTGCTGGAACTGTTTGGAGCTCACTCACTACCATTGTAGAGAGGATGTTGCTTTCTCCTACAATTTTCCAAAAATATGTTTGAAACCTTTAAAGTGATAGATTAAGCAATCCTACCGAGACATTTAGTTACTAAAATACTTAGCACATCTTGTCATTTGACAGCTTTAACCATAAGATATTTCTTAATTAAAGACCCCGAAGACAACCTACAGCAAGGTAATTCGTATATTGCATCTGGAAGTATTTTGAATGCAGAGTGTGCTAGGGCCCAAAAGATTGTCAGTCTAGCCTCCTGTTGCTTACGAGCTCTTGGATTAAGGGAGGAATGTGATAGTTTATGTCTTCTTTGAAGAGCTAACTAGAAATTAGAGATGATACAAATGTAGAGTTAGTATATTATTACTCATTTTGTACAGATGCAATGATTTTGGAAAATTTTGCATTACAGTATATGCTCATAACAGGAGCTACAAATGAAGCAACACATTCTACCACATAACATTTTCAAGTTATTTAAATATTAAATAACTTTATATAAAATCCTAATCTTGGCAAGTTATTATGAGTTTTATTTTTAATAATAGGAATACTACGTATGTAGAATATTTTGGCAAAAAGTATGTGTTCTTTGCTTTTCTAGGTTAACCCATATCTTCTATCAGGAGTTCTTAAACTGGGATCCATGATTAGAACTGTGGTCTTGTGGGTAGAACTGAATTTTAATATAATTGGTTTTCTTTGGGATTGTGTGATTTCTTCTTTCTTTTATAGTTCTATGAATTTAATTTTATGCATTTACAATCATTATTCTGGAGTCCATAGGCTTCATTAGGCTACCAAAGGTGTTTATGACACACACAAAAATGCTACAACCATTGCATCAGGTTGAAGAATTTTAGTTTTCCATGAGTCACTTCAGAAGAGTTGCTTGTATATTTGTATCTGTAATTTATCAGAAAATAAAATGTTATGCAACATAAACCATATTTGAATATCTTAGATGTTTTAATGAACAAAATCAGTTATCTGAGTTGTCATGGTATTTTTAAATTAATTTGGAAATATTTACATTAGTCTTCTACTATTTTGCGAATATTGACCTGCAGAAAACAGTTTGAAGAAATACTCTTCTTTGGAATTTGGAAGTTTTTACTTAACCTTTTGTGCTTTTCCGAGTTAGCAAATTCAGTAAACTTTTACTGACCTATAGTTGTGTGCTAGGCACTAGAGATTTGAAAATTAATAAGACAACCCGAACATGGTCAGAAATATGTTCCTTTTCTAACTCCTCTCTGGCTGTTTCCAGTCCTCCCCCAACTGCATTGAGTTTCCAGAGGTAAAAGTCTTTTTTCTCATATTCTCACCTTTGCAAGGT